CCTCGCGTGCAGTTACCGTAATACTCCAGCAGACTTCTGATGATTAACATTCCTTCTTTGATTAATCGTAGAACAATGTTGGGTGAAATATTTATTCATAAGCTAATTACTGGTGAAATCGAATTTCTCTATCCCTACTAGACTAACACGTAATTTTGTACCCCATTCGCTTCGCTCAGCTAATTATGCTTTGCATGAACCGTTCACGTCTCTTTTTTTTTTTTTTTTTTTTTTTATTTATTTATTTATTCATTTATTAATGGTCGACAAAACGAGTGTCTTCCTCATTATTCAAAAGATTGTACAATAGAATTATATGCTAAAAGCCTAGTTAAGGGATACAATTTTCTAAATAGCATCACCGACCGATGGAGGTGTTTTATTTGCCAGTCTGGCCAGCTGTGCCCCTTTTCACAGCTAATTTTGTCAGTGACGCTATTAGAGCCTACATCTAAGCAGAAGGTTGTAAGTAGGAAAAAAGTGATCTCAAGTGAAATTAAAAATAATCTTAATTTGCTATATTAATAAAGAAAATACAATAAATAGGAAAAAAGAAAGTAAGAAAATTGTTAAAAAAGTATAGCAATGTAAGTTAGATAAAGAGTGTTAAGTGGATAGGACAAAGAGAAAAGTAATGGGAAATCACCGACACGGTGGGGGAAAATTTTTCAGCCTGTCCGGCTAGCTATGCCCCTGCTCATAGCTGGGAATGGTCAGCGACTTCCCGAAGGTATCCTGAAATCAACGATTTTATTAGGGGTAGAGACAGTTCGGTAGAGAAAACGTGATGCAAACTATTATAATTTTTACACAGCACGCGAAAAGAATTGTGCATAGCGTAATCTGTTGTGCACGTAGATAGTAATAAGGGGCGATAATTTCTGGTTGGTTTAGCGGGAACAGAGAATTGAAGATGCCCTAGCAGAAAAGGAGAATCTATGTCGCCAATAATCAACTTATGTAGAAGGACAACACCGAGAATTGTCCTACGGTTGATTAACGACGGAAGGTTGAGAAGAAGCAGTCCGCTGAAGTAGGGCGGCAACCGAAGATTAGGGTCCCAATTTAAACCGCGTAAGGCAAAAAGCAGAAATTGCTTCTGAACAGATTCAATACGATTCTGGCTGTCGATATACTGTGGAGACCAGATGCAAGAGCAGTATTCAAGGATAGGGCGAACAAGAGAGATGTACAGAAGTTTTGTTATAAAAGGATCGTTAAACTCTTTAGACCATCGTTTAATGAATCCAAGTACACCTTTTGCCTCATTAACAATGGTATCTATATGAAGATTGAAACAGAGTTTAGAATCAAAAATAACGCCTAGATCCTTAACTGTTAGTATATGTTGCAAAGGGATATTGTCGATTGTATAACTGACAAGATAAGGTGTAGTACGATTAAATGTCAAAAACATACACTTTGAACAATTTAGATGCAATTGATTGGCCAAACACCAAAGTTGCATAGCGTTCAAATCGTCTTGTAGACGACAATGATGTAGGGGGTTAGTGTATGATAGAAAAAGTTTGACGTCGTCCGCATACATGAGTACACGGGCATGTGATATAACAGAGGGAAGATCATTTATAAAAAGAGTAAAGAGTAAAGGTCCACGATGACTACCTTGAGGAACACCAGAAGTAACGTGAACCCTTTTAGAGGTAGTCAACCTCAGTATTACTCTTTGGGTCCTACCTTTTAAATAAGAATTAATCCAAAGTAAAAGGGACAGAGGGAAACCTATTCGGTCAAGTTTAAAAAGTAAAATGTCATGGTGCACAGAGTCAAACGCCTTACTGAAGTCAGTGTAAATGATATCAGTTTGCATTTTCGAAAGGAAAGCATCATTTACCAAGGAAGTAAACTCAAGCAGATTGGTCGTAGTTGACCGATTCTTTACAAATCCATGTTGAACAGGGGAAACAACTGATTTGCAGAAATGCTGCAAATTCGAAGTGATTATTTTTTCAAATAATTTAGGAATAGCAGACAGTTTTGCAATGCCCCTGTAATTTTGTATATCAGACTTCCCACCTTTCTTGTGAAGAGGAATGATATTCTTTCCAAAGAGATGGAAAGACAGAAGTTTCAAGGGATAAATTAAAAAGCTTTAGCAATGGATAGAAAAGGGAAGAACTACAGGCCCAGGAGAGTAAGAAGATTTTAGAGAGTTTCTAGCTAATAGGAGAGAGGAGTGTGAAATAATGGGGGGAGGTATAGAACTATTGGAAGAAATAGTATAAGGGTATAAAGTATTCTATTCTTAAAAGGATTTTGCATATATATGAGAAGCATAGTAAAACTAATAACTTCCGATTTTTGTTAAGGTATCTTGATAAACAAAATGTTTTTTTGTTACAAAAACTTAATTTTCGACCGATCTTTCCTATGGCAGCTATATGATAGAATATTCCGATCCAGCTGGTTTTGACTATGTGCTGCGTGCAACAGAAAAAGGGACTTGTGCAAAGTTTCACAAAGTAGCTTTAAAACTGAGAGAATAGTTCGCATAGAAACAGACAGGCGGATAGAAGGACAGACGGACATGGACGGACATATCGACTGATCAATAATATATATACTTTATGGGGTCGGAGATGTCTGTCATGCGTTACACATTTCACGACAAAATTATAATACCCTCTGCAAGGGTATAAAAATTGTGCTCACTTGAACGAATATTCTTCTCTTATATAATATATTTAATCAAATTTATTTAATACTATGGTTTGTACCATCCTGTCCCTTTCTCTGTATACACCTTATTAAGTCACGACTAAGTCCGAAAGAGTACAAGGACCCACCTCCATAGAAGAGTATTTGACCAGAAAATTTATATTTATCCCGAAGAATGCTAATAGAACTGGTAAAACCGAAGAATTGCACATAAGCGAATTTCGCGGTATTATGCACGCCAATATGCTGTGGAAAAATGCTTTTAGCGTTACCATATCATATCTCTTATTCCTTTAAACCAACCTCCACCCATTACAATTTTTGTTAGTCTCAAATCATAAAATCTTTGGCCCTAGTCATCTTTCTGATGTTCGTCGGGGGGATTGTGTTGACAGAATAAGCACAATAATTTGGAGTTTATCTGCTTAGGAATATGGTACTGATGAAACATCGGTGCTATATCAGGTAATACCTTAAGATCTTACTACATCTGATAAATAAAATCGACTCTGTGAAATTAAATTATTTTGACAGGTAACTCTTTTATTAAGACCCGAATATCATAACGATTACTTATTTTTGTTTCATTTTAGTAATACGTGATATGAGTTGGAGCCACATATAGTTCCACCTAACACTGGTACTGTCCGTGTCCCTAACTCTGGTCTTCCCCAAATACGAAAGCAAATACTCGAAATACACCACAGGTTATACTCAACTCTGGCGTGAAATTGGCCGTCAGAGAGTCACCTCCGATTCAAATGAATTGTAAGAAGACTAAATTTGGAAGAATTTAAGATCCCCAGAAAGTTATAAGGCTAGTATGATTGCAACTGTCACAAAACAAATTCGCACGACTCTAGGATATTTGAATGTATCCTCTTAAAATGTCCGGGAAGATCCCCTACTTGAATAAAACAACGAGATTCCAACTGTCCAGCCCCGTTCAAACAATGTTCGTGATAGCTTTCCGAGAATAAGAGTATCTGTTGATCAAGCCAATGTAAGCGACTTCTAAGTCGATCGATCCGATAGGATCTCAAGTGTGACTTCGAACTGACATTCGAAAATTAGCAGCTTGGTAAAGGATATAAATATTGACGATCTTATTTATAGAGTTAATTGTTGAACTTTGAAGAGTCTTAACGGAAACTTTGAGTTGCATTAATTTGCAAACCTACTGTTTACGGGGTTTGCATTTACATTGTATTGGACTTTGTGTCGAGAACCTTTGTTCTAAAGCTATTTTAATGAATCTTTGCAGAAGTCCATTTTTCTGTTACACGCAGCAAATATGTCAAAATCAGCTTCATCGGACCACTATATCATATAGCTGCCAGAGGAACGATCGGTCGAAGGTTAAGTTGTTGTACGAAAAAACATTTTATTTATTAAGATATGTTGACCAAACTCAGCATTCATTAGTATTACTATGCTCCATATTTATATAAAAATCCAATTAAGATCGGATATATCATATAGCTGCCATAGAACGATCAGTCAAAAATTAAGTTGTATGAAAAAAGATTTAGTTTGTCAAGATATATTGACCAAACTCGGCATTTATTAGTTCTACTATACTCTTAATATATTTGAAAAATCCTATTAAGATCGGACCACTATATCATATAGCTGCCATAGAAAAAATCGGTCTTTTATACCCTTGCAGAGGGTATTATAATTTTATCGTGAAATGTGTAACGCATAGAAGGAGAAATCTCCGACCCCATAAAGTATATATATTCTTAACCAGGATCAACAGCCGAGTCGATATAGCCATGTCCGTCTGTCTGTTTCTATGCGAACTAGTCCCTCAGTTTTAAAGCTATCTTAATGAAACTTTCCAGAACTCCCTCTTTCTGTTGCACATCACATGTGAAAACCAGCTGGATCGGACCACTATATCATATAGCTGCCATAGGAACGATCGGTCGAAAATTAAGTTTTTGTATGAAAGAACATTTTGTTCTTCAAGATATCTTGAACAAACTCGGCATTTATTAGTTTTACTATGCTCCTCATATATATGCAAAATCCTATTAAGATCGGACCACTGTATCATATAGCTGATATTGGAACGATCGGTCGAAAATTAAGTTTTTGTATGAAAAAACATTTTGATTATCAAGATATCTTGTCAAAACTCGGCATTTACTATTTTCCCTGTGCTTCTTAGATATAGGCAAAGCACTATAGACATTATTGAGATAAAATTGAGAGTACTGATAAGATATTAGGTAAAACTATTCAAATTTTGGGTTTGAAAAATTCATCAAAATCTCAATTTGTCACAATAAAAATACTTTTATTCTTCTCCTTAGTCAAAGAAAGTGTCTGATCGTATAGCGGATATGGAGGAACCATTACTCAGAGAGCTTAATGAAGGTATTGCAATATTTGTGCAAGAGTTTGATGAGTTTAATCGCAACTTTGAAGCAAATGGTCCAATGGTTGAAGGAATATCTGCCAAAGAAGCTAGTGAAAGAGTATTTCTATTTCAAAATCGATTCGACGAGCTGTGGCGTAAATTTGAAATGTACAGCAGTGGTGAAAAACTTTTTGGCTTACCTATAACGGAATATCCCTTGCTGCATCAACGTAAAAGAGAATTCAATTATCTAAATCGCCTATATTCATTATATATACAAGTCTTGAAGGCTATTTCCGATTATTATGAAATGCCCTGGGCTGAAGTTGATATTGAAAAAATTAGCGCTGAGCTGGCCGATTTTCAATTACGTTGTCGAAAGCTTCCAAAAGGTATGCAATCTTGGCCAGCCTACATTGATTTAAAGACCAAAATAGACGATTTTAATGAGACATGCCCATTACTTGAGTTAATGACAAACAAAGCAATGAAGGAACGTCACTGGGTGCGATTAAATGCACTTTTCAAGACTAACTTTGACCCAACCGATCCAAAGTTCACACTCGGAAAACTACTTGATGCACCCATTTTGAAATATAAAGAAGATGTTGAAGATATCTGTGTCGGGGCTGGCAAAGAATTAGATATAGAAGCAAAATTAAAACAAATAATTGCTGATTGGGCCCTGTTAAATTTGCAATTGGGACAGTTTAGAAATCGAGGAGAACTTGTTCTTAAAGGCACTGAAACACTGTCACTTATTGCCTCAATAGAGGATAGTTTAATGATAATGAACTCGCTAAGCTCCAATAGATATAATGCTCCATTTAAAAAGGAAATACAACTGTGGCTTTGGAAACTTGTAAGCACTGGTGACATTCTGGAAAAATGGCTAATGGTGCAAAATCTATGGATATACTTGGAGGCCGTTTTTGTGGGTGGTGATATATCAAAGCAACTTCCTATGGAAGCAAAACGTTTCGTAAATATTGACAAAAGCTATGTTAAGATAATGATGCGAGCACGAGAAATACCAAATGCAGTAGAGTGCTGCACTGGAGACGAATCGTTAGCTACAAATTTAAATTGGTTATTTGATCAGCTGGAAACATGTCAAAAAAGTTTAACAGGCTATTTAGAATCAAAACGTCTGTTATTCCCACGATTCTTTTTTGTGTCAGATCCTGTTCTTTTAGAAATATTAGGTCAAGCGTCTGATCCTACATCAATACAACCTCATCTTTTAAGTATATTTGATGCTATTGCTACAGTTGATTTCCAGGAAAAGGCAAGTGATATTATTGATGGCATGAACTCGTCAAATCACGAAAAGGTAAAATTTGAAAATACGGTACAGTGTGTAGGGAGCGTAGAGCTTTGGCTGGGCCGTTTGCTAAAAGAAATGCAAGATACTATGAGAACAATTCTTGCTGGAATGGCAATCAGTCTGAATGATCCGGAATTTAATTTTGCAGAGGAATTTCCTTCATTTTGTGGGCAGGCGGGTGTTGTAGGAGTACAGTTATTATGGACAAAGGATTCGGAGTACGCTTTACGGAAATGTCGATCCGACAAGACTATTATGAAACGCACCAACAATAAATTTTTGGTGTTACTAAACTTTTTCATCGACTTAACTGTAAGAGATCTAACCTCACTTGATCGGATACGTTTTGAAACTATGGTTACAATTCATGTACATCAGCGCGATATTTTTGATGAATTGTGTACACAACGCATTAAATCGGCAGGTGACTTTGAGTGGCAGAAGCAAGCCCGATTTTATTTCAACGAAGACAACGATGACGTTATTGTGGGTATTACGGATGTAAATTTTATTTATCAAAATGAATATTTGGGGGTAACGGAACGTCTGGCCATTACACCATTGACTGATCGTTGTTATATTACTCTTGCGCAGGCTGTAGGCATGTGTATGGGTGGGGCACCAGCGGGTCCCGCAGGGACAGGCAAAACCGAAACTACGAAAGATATGGGTCGTGCCTTAGGGAAATTAGTTGTTGTTTTTAATTGCTCTGATCAGATGGATTTTCGTGGCCTGGGCCGAATTTACAAAGGACTTGCGCAGTCTGGTTCATGGGGATGCTTTGACGAATTCAACCGCATTGAGTTACCTGTACTGTCAGTGGCGGCGCAACAAATTTAGTAAGTATTTGTTATAAATAACAAAAAACATGTACGTTAATAATACTTATTTTTCGCAGTATTGTTTTGACGGCGCGTAAGGAAAAACGTTCTTCGTTTATATTTCTTGATGGTGATGACGTCACACTTAATCCCGAATTTGGAATATTTATTACTATGAATCCTGGTTATGCTGGTCGCCAAGAACTACCTGAGAATCTTAAGATTATGTTTCGAACGGTGGCTATGATGGTACCCGATCGACAGATCATAATTAGAGTTAAAATGGCAAGTTGTGGTTTTAAAGAAAATGTTCTACTTTCTCGAAAAATGTTCACACTATATAAATTATGTGAGGAACAACTGTCGAAACAGGTGCATTACGACTTTGGCCTGCGCAATATACTTTCGGTTTTAAGAACTCTAGGTTCGCAAAAGAGGTCCAACCCAACTGATACAGAGGAGACAATAGTAATGCGTGTTTTACGTGATATGAATGTTTCAAAACTTATTGACGAAGACGAAGGTCTCTTCGTATCGCTTGTTGATGATATGTTTCCAGGAATAAAGTTAACAACGAATGTTTACAAGGATCTACAAAGAGCTATTGTTAAAGTTTGTGACGAATCGGGTTATGTTAATAATCCAGAGTGGAATTTGAAGGTTGTTCAACTTTATGAAACGTCCCTTGTGCGTCATGGACTTATGCTCATGGGCCCAACAGGGTCAGGAAAAACTAGCTGCACACTCTGCATGCTTCGTTGCTTTACAAAAATGGGCCGAGCACATAAAGAAATGAGAATGAACCCCAAGGCTATTACAGCTCCACAAATGTTTGGACGATTGGATGTAGCGACTAATGACTGGACAGATGGAATCTTTTCCACATTATGGCGACGTTCATTAAAAATTCCGCATCATCAAAACTGTTGGATTGTGCTAGATGGTCCAGTTGATGCCGTGTGGATAGAAAATTTGAATTCAGTGCTGGATGATAACAAGACACTAACTTTAGCGAATGGAGACCGCATAAAAATGGCTGATAATTCTAAACTAGTATTTGAACCAGATAACGTTGACAACGCATCACCAGCAACCGTCAGTCGTGTTGGCATGGTGTTTACAAGTTCTTCGGTTTTAAGTTGGAAAGTCTATATGGAGGCGTGGTTAATGACTCATAATGATGATCAAGAAATTTATAGACGATGCTATGATGCAATATATGATGATGCGCATACCTTCTTGCAGACTAGGCTTGTAGCCAAAATGCGCATACTAGAAGCTATTTATATTCGCCAAATGTTAGACATTATGGATGGTCTTTTGATTGAAATATCTTCCCGCAGTGAAAAAGCTCTTGAACGCATGTTTTTATTTGCAATGATGTGGTCGCTTGGAGCAGTTTTAGAACTATCTGAACGTGAAAAGTTTGAAGAATTTCTTCTAAAACATCCTTCAAAATTACGTACGTTAATATTTAATTGTAAAAAAAAAAACTATTCTTATATATTGTTTTCCGATAGTTTGGCCAAAACGGGGCTTGACAGAAACAATTTTTGAATACTATGTAGATGACAACGGAAGTTGGCAACATTGGAACTCGCGTGTTGATGCATTTAATTTTCCAGACGATGAGATTCCAGAATTCGCTTCAATTTTAGTACCCAACGTAGACAATGTACGCACAGCTTTTCTCATACATAACAGTTCAATGCAACTCAAACAAGTACTGCTTATTGGAGAACAGGGAACCGCCAAAACTGTAATGATAACTGCTTATATGGGCCGTTACGACCCCGAGGAGCATCTATCCAAATCGATTAATTTTTCGTCTGCAACTTCACCAAATATGTTCCAAGTAAGTATCATTGTGACAGTAAACTTACATGATAATATATTCTCGATTGTAATGGGTCCTAAATTTAGTATTAAAATATCGTGGATGAGGATTAATTAAATGCATTTTGAATTAAAGATCTCTAGAATATGCAGTCGCGACAAGTATATGCATTCGGTAGAATAACGACACACCATAAAGATATTTCAGCAATCTACCATTTGCAACCTTTGGCATATGCAAACTGACGGACAAGTCGTGTAATGGTGCTTTCATTCATTTTTCGGCTCATGCCAATCAGAATTCGGCTCATCCCAAATAATGGGTAAATGTATGTCACTGGCAGAAGAGTATATTTCCGCATAAAATATATATATTCTTGACCAGCATCATTAGCGTCTGAACCTATAAGAGGTAACGACTTGAAACTGTAGATGTAGGTGCTCCTAGTGCCCGCGCAGATCGAGTTTGTCTCCGACAATCGATAGCTTACTCAGTTTCCAAGCAACCGATAGAAATCGATATCGATAAATAATAAGATCTAGAGTCACTAACTTGACATAGCTTCTAAAATAGAATATATATATATGCATTTGATGTTGGCAGAAGAGGGGTATCCCCTAGTCAGGGCTCCCGCAATTGGACTGCACAGCTAGCGAAAACATCAAGAATTTGTGAATACATGTACACACGCATGTGCGTACATGCGCGTCTGCTTCACATTCTATCGCATTCTAACAGCATGGTAATGGTGCGACTGTTTTTTTAGTTCGTTTTTTTTCTGAAGAATTCTTAATTATTGGCGTGGTTGTAGTTTGTCTGTTGAGTCGACAGCAAGTAATGCGGTGTGCTGCGAATTCAAGCCCTGCCAAGGAAACCTTTTTTTTTAAATTTATTTGGTGTTGGAATAAGAGGGTTCACGGAATTCCCTAGTCGGAAGCTCCCGACTATAACCTTTTACCCGTTTCTTAACATTTACCAGGAATTTCCTCAATTTTAGGAGCGGTAAAATTTATCACAAATTTTATCCCATTTTATCATTACTTAAGACCGAATACCTTTATTTGTTTGATCTGTTGTAATTACTTTACTACTTCTTTTATCTTTTCCGGTCTTAGCAGGAGCTACGCAATATTACCACTTGAATTTTTAGAATTTATTGTATGAGCCCATGATATATTTACAGTAGGAATAGACGTAGATACCAGAGCTTATTTTACATCACTAACAATAATTATTACCGTACCAACAGGTATTAAAATTTTAAGCTGACTTGCTACACTATATGGAACACAGCTTTCATATTCACCAGATCACCTGTGACCTTTAGTGTTTGCATTTTTATTTTCGGTTGGGGGATTAACTAAAATTGTTTTAGCAAATTCATTTTCATGATGTATTATCGATAAGAGCCGTATTTGCTATTATAGCAGGGTTTATTCATTAATACCCTTTATTTACAGGATTAGCTATAAATAACAAATGACTAAAGTCAATTTATTCTTATATTTATTGGGGTGAATCTTACATTTTTCCCACAACATTTCCTAGAATTATCAGGGATGCCTTGTCATTATTCTGATTACCCAGATGATTACACTACATGAAATGTAATTTCAAATATTGGTTCGTCAATTCGTTACAAGGAATTTTAATTTGTTCTACATTATTTACCCAATTCAATTAAATTCTTCAATTGAATGATACCAAAACATTCGCCCTGCTGACACAGCTATTCTGAATTACCTTTATAAACTTATTATTTTCTAATGTGGCAGATTAGTGCAATGCATTTAAGCTCCATATATAAAGGATTTTTGCCAGGATTTAGTTTTATTGTCAACATAATTTAATTATGGTCTTCAAGATAAAGCTTCTCCTTTAATAGAACAATTAATTTATTCCATGATCATGCCCTACTGATTTTAATAAGGTGAGTAATCTTAGAAGTATAGTAATGCTTTATTTTCGAAAATGTATATGAAAGCAACATTATATAATAACATAGGCATTTAAATGTTCATAGGTTTTAAAATATTTGAAAAAATAAGAAAAATTACACTTTTCGAGTGTAACGATATTATACGAAAACTTGTTTTTTTAGCTTATAAAGCCATAAATCTTTGAGATAATGGCTTAAAAAAAAATTTGAACATTAAATAGGGCCTCCTTGTTCTTTTCCTACATTGAATAACCTTGTTTTCATTGAGTTTATTAAATTTGCTTAAAGGGTTTGATCCAATTTTGCCCATTCTCTTAAAATCCTCCTTCTTAGTTCAGTAACACTATCAAATTTCTTATTTTCTGCGTAAACACGACGTACAAGAATTCCCCAGAGGTTTTCAATAGGGTTCAGATCAGGTGAACACGCAGGCCAGTCCAAAGTATTGACTGAGGATGACAATAGGTAGGCCAATATAGTATGTAACGGTTCTCTATTGCACATTATGCTTTGAATTCTCATTTTATTCCATCGTGCGAGTTGATTTAACAACATTTTCGATTTGTCGAGTGTTTGAAGTAATATTTTGATAGTTTCGTATAATTTCGTTACGAACCTTAGTTGGGTGCTTGATATTTATATTATTTTTAAATAATTATATATATTAATACTTTAAACAATTTTGACCGGACT